GATCGTAATGCGAAGTCTCAGGGATGTCTTGTTGCTCATTGGAAAGTAGTAAATTAAGGGCTCTGTGTAAGCGAGGAGAGGAGGTACGAATCGTGATTGCAACTAGAATGGAATAAGAAAGGAAGAGATAAATAGTTTTTAAAGATCGTGTATAAGCCGAAAATGGTGAATATTTGAGTTGAGGCAATTCTGTCAGGAAACCGTCAATTGTGGAACAGCATCGAAGAGTCAACTGAAGGCTCCTCCACTCATTCATCATGTATCTCCGATACATTATCTAATGTCGACATATGGAAAGCTGCTCGGAGCGAAAAATGATACATGTCGTGTGTGGTTGGAGAGCTGTGCGTTCAATATTGAACTATCTGATATTTGGGAGCGTGAAGCTGCATAATTGCGGTATTTATACTGATGCATCACGCACTACATTATATATTACCCTGAGAGACGAAACATATTGTGAACTGAACTAGTGCAGGCTTCTGCCTATAGAACTTCTAAAGCTATGATAAGATGAGATTGAAGCGAAGAGTACGCTCCGTTTAAGAGTTTCCTGGAATGAAATGCGTAGTTGACCTACAGATATCATGATCTGCTTCTGTGATTAAATTACCAACTGAAACATAAATAAATTAATCAAATTTACCGGCAAACTAGAAGCTGCCCATGTGCAAAGGTACTTCGGAGATGCATATAATGCAACGTTTCGGAGCAGGAAAGTATCTGATAATCGCCAGCGCCGCTTCACCGCAGAAACATATAGAGTTCCCTCTTTCCCCTAAAACCAAGGCATTTTGGAGCCATTCACGGATGCATGAAACATTCATAATAATAGAAGAATGTCATTATGTCATTGAGCCATGGGCATTTCCGACCTGGATGAGATCAAAATACCACGTTGCCCCCAAATGATCGAATTTCAATTAAATTGGTTGATAACTACTTGAACAGCTTTGCTCTCACGCGATCCCAAAAGAGCGAGTGCGTAAAGGCCTGACATCAAGTGAAGAAATGTTCGATCGGTCCTTTATTCAGGTTCGCGACCGCCCGCAGACACTATGTTCATCGGTTGATTGACTTCCTTATTGTGCTCCCTTACAAAAAAAAAATTCGCAGGCGGTAAAATTTGACTGGGAAGTTTCATGAAAATGACGTCATTCACAGGGCATTGTCATATTATGTAACTGATGCATGTCATTTCCACGAAACTCACCATTCTCCGGTCAATTCCAGGTGTAAATTCTATGGCGATCCCTGAAATTGCTGTGGCATATGTAGTTCAGTCATGCGATTCCAAATATTCGTCAACAAAAAAAACCACACTCAATGATTTTACATGAGTTTGGTTTGGGTCGAAAGTTTAAGAGTGTCATGACAACGTAACATGGTTCTGACAGCTCTAAGAGAAGATGCCGCTTTGAACTCTTCAAGAAAATCTACCGTGTTTCTATTGAAAGGGAGTGGTTCGCGCGAATGGAGTGAATGAATCTGGAATCCCAAAGAAATTTAGGAAACGCCAAGTCAATAACGAGTCTCGAATTTGACCAAGGATGTGAGTGACATAGGCCTAGGCCTCTAATATGAAAATGAAGGCTTAACATTGGATGTGAGTCGGAGGCATTGGCAATTGACCAAGGCCCATGCTAACACTTGGTCACCACATCGAATAAACGCCGTATCATCATAACATAGTAGGCAGCCTTAACCCTCATTTCCGGTCAGATTTTGCCCGAAAACTTCGGATGATAAGGCATTGCACAAAGGAAGATGCGCGCACGCAGCCGGCAGCAACCGGATGAACTTTGAACTTCGGCATGGCGAGGTCCTCGACTCTGACATGATCCTTACCTTGCCGGACCCAAGCCTCTAACTTACATGGAAAGTGCAGGTCCCCCTGTGAATTTCACGGAAATTCCATGGAATTAGCCCAGCAGTCTTAGGCCGTATCCCTCTTCCAAAGGAAAAGTGAATGGTTACATGTAAAATTCATGTTATTTCCCGGTCATTTCCACCATATGTTGACGAAAACTTGAAAAATTCGACAAAGACCGGGAATTTCCATGAAAATTACATGTCAATCCCTTTTAACATTTTGAATGGGCTGTCATAGACCAGAGGCCACACTTCCTAAATTCGAGCCATCAGTTCATCAAGGGGTACTGCGTCCAGCATAAATTAGATTCTTGAATTCACCGAGGTTGGTTAAGTCTGGAGTTATCTTTCCAAAAGTTGATTTCGTGACTGATAGCCGCGTCTGCCTCAACCCTTAGGAAGGGGAGGCAAGGTGAACTCGAGGTTTCACTTTCCCACCCTGTGTAAGACGGATGCTAAAAATGACTCGGACTGGATAGAAACTATATTTCCACATGAACATTCCGTGGTGGCCGTCAATTCTTCGCACTGTGCCTATTAAACCTGAGGCCCCAACCCCTCAAAAAAAAATTTAAAATGAAATTTTTTGCATGCGTTTGCTTTGCGTCAGCCTTCTCTGGACCACAATTTAGAAGATATTCCGGGGACATCTTTTTAAAAATCCAGACAAACGGAAATCGAAGTTCATGAAATCTTACGTCAGCATCAAGTTAATGAAATTATTGTTTTCCCCATGAAATATATCGGTTTGCCAATAGCATTTCCAGCTCATTCTACGCAACCGTCTGCATGTTCACCCTAAATTCTACCATCACGGGGAGCACTTGGGGAGCGAATGGGTTAATAATTCGTTAAGCAGCCCTCATTAGGCCCTTCGACAGTTTTTCAGGATCCAACTGACATCAAATGAACCATTGCGAAATTTTGCCTAACAGTGCTCGGCAAGCGTGGGGACTAATTTCTTACTCGTACCGGTATGGACTGAGAGTGGCAAAGGGTAAGCGGCACAAGTCGCCTCACAAAATGGGGGGGGGGGGGTTGGAAGGGGTCACTCTCGTGCACCTCCCCCCCTTCCGCGGAGCGAGATCACCATGTTCCCACTCCAAGCATGGGGGTAGATATATATGAGATGAGCTTCAGATAAAAGGGGGAACAGGCAGTAGTCGGAACCTACAGAGTGAACTGTCTGCCCGGGATATCGCTTACAAGATATGTACTTCGACATGTACTTGGAGACCATGAGACTCGTTCACTGCAGCATGGTCAATCGGTGGTAAGGAACATTTTACGAAAGCCACCAATATACGAGGGTGTTCAATAAATAAGATAATAAGACCTGTGGTGAATAAGTTATTGTTTGCGTCGAGAAACTTTTTTGGTGATGGAGTACAGTGATGGTGAGGCTTCCACTTCACGCGCGGATATATCGCTGTGTAATACTCCGCATGCGTAAAATGCCAGTTATGATTCCGGTCCTCCTCGACAGGTGGTCAAACGTTGAAGCGCGGAGTGGTATTCGGTTTCTTCATGCAAGTGGCCCCACACCTGCAGAAATCCACGGTCAAGTTGTAGAGGTATATGGAGAACATGCCACGTCTTGGAAACAAGTATGGGTGTGGTGTAAAGCCTTCGATTCTGGGCGAATGAGTGTTATCGATGAACAGCAACCGGGAACTGGAAGACATTTATTGACGCAAACAATAACTTATTCGCAGCAGGCCTTATTACTTTATTCTTATTATGAACCTCATAATGAACACATTCAAACCGAAGTGTAAACATATAGTGTGTGCGATCCTGACAGCCAGTTTGGCCGAGCGACAAACGAATGTATGTGTGGTGTCTGTGACACCGACGAATGTGTGTGTGTCTGTGACAGCTTCGAGATATGAATTGGGAGTTTCGCCTCAAATCATCCTTATCATACGAGTATGTGCCTTTGCGATAATAAATTTACAAGTAGGCCTCACGAAAGGTGTGGGAGGCAACTTTTGCGGAAAATAGGAGATTCGCTCATGTCTCGTCATCTTTTGGTTTTTTTGATTGGTAGTTGTCGTGGTACTGGAAAGGTGACGCTGGCAGTGCTCACTGCAGTGCCTCCCGTCTGATGCTGCCGATCCAAAGATTTAAAGCGTCCGGGATGAAATAAGGGGCGATTCGTCAGTTCAGAGGGCTCCGCAAAGGAATCCATCGCTGCAGTTTTCCCAAGGGGTTCAACTCTCAAAATACAGAATTCCAGATTTTCAGAATGTCGTGCTCTTCGCCACTGCTTACATCACCTTCGTTCCTTTGAAAGCGCTCACGAACGACGCAAGGAAGCCGACGAGGGCGAGAGATTCTTCAATGGCTCTATCGTTTTCCAGGATCGCAGTCGCTTTGGTAGATGGCAAACGATTAAAATGATGATCTATGAAGTCTGAAGTGAAGAAAAGGTGATTTGCAAATCGCGACTGAATCCTTTCTTGCATGTTCCCTGTCTTCTTCCGTTCGTCTGTGCTGATGCTCGAAGTTAATGCTTCTGTGACTGAGAGTCCCCAACATTTTTCGTTCATTTCCCGTGGTTGCGGTCCCAGGTCTGTGCGCCGATACCGTGAAGGTGTGTTGCAGGGTAAAACACTCTAGCTAGGGCTCGAAGGTGCGCCCCACGTAGTATGCCGCTTTCGATCTACTACCCTATGTGAAAAATGAGATTTTTGTTTCTTTTTGGACACCATGCTATCGTATTGACGTGCTGAGGTTCCACCTAGAATAAGGGTAATGAGCTTTGGCAGATGAAATCTGTGCCCTCAGAGTTGTATTGCCGTTTCGGATCTGGGATTTTACTTAATTCTTTACTCGCCTTTGCTGACAAAATGCTCCATTCATATAATCGGGTGCCTAAGATCATCACGGGTCAAATGAGACCTGCAGGCGGTATGTGACGGTTTCTAAATAGCACACGAACGCTCCCCTGGACGTTCAAAGTGTGTTCAAAGAGGTCTTTGGACGCCTAATGTGCCGTTTGATCACAATACGAGCCTCATTTTAAGCACATTCGTTGAAGGTTAAAAAATTGCTTTCCTCAAGCATATCTATATCAAGCATATATAACCGACGCTAGAAGAGACCAAAGTAGTCGCTATAGTGGGTCAATACCTGAAACAGTTGAAATGAGTCTGCAATACCTCCACGCGGTAGCGGATCTTTCCCCACATGAACCAGAGCGGGAAAGGTTCGGATTCATCAAAGAATCGGTCTTTAGAGGCAACCCAGTCCAAGAAGTCTCCAGAAAACTCTGTCATGAAAGATAGTTCATTTTCCAAGGTGACTTCATGATGAAGGTTAGGAAGCTGGAAAGATGAAAGTGCATATGCTACAAAAAGGGGAATTCACGCCAGGCCGTGTCTGATTCTTTAATCCGAAATCACTGCAGTTCTGAAGCAAGTTTTGTGCAATATGACTATATTGTCACAACCTTCACCAGACTGGGTAAACACCAATTGATCGAGTTTCTGCAAGCACCGGTGCGCCATTGAGCATTTAAGGGGAACTTTCGCTTGTAGTTGAACTGCGAAGGGAATAATTGTAACTCTTTCCTGTGAACTTTCACCCATCTGTTATGAGGATTGAAGGCAGGAGAAAGGCTGAATGGCAGGAGGGGAATAAAGAAATCTAGGGGACGGCCGGGAATTGAACATGAGTCTTCTGATTGCCGGTCAGGTGTGCAACGAGGTGACATGCAGTTTTGCCTTTTTATGCCTACGCTATCACTACACATCAATCCTCTTTTGCCTTGGAGAGGGCGATTTTTTCTAAGTATGGTCGTCATTAGATGGGCATTGGAGACCGCTCTCATATATTGTCGCTTCATTACTGTAGATGAACGTTGAAGTGAAAGCCATGTTATAGAAAATCAAAACGTATTCCCTACTATGTACGTCGCTTGGAACATGTGCTAGTGTAAGGACCTTGCACAGTATGCAAGTATATCAAAATTGAAACTAGCACATTTGCTTTCCAAGTTGCTGCTACATTCGGAAAAGCATTTCATTTGGAATTAGGTTGCGATCTGAGTATGTCACAAGGACCACTTCCAAAAAAGTCGGCATCAGCAAATGGCAGGCGGTTATGATACTCGGTTTCTTCCACTTTACAACAGGCAGAAAGCATCCTCACCACATTGTTGCCTGTACAGTACATAATTTGCACTCTCAGATTCTGTGTACAAAATTAATTTAAAAAAAAATGACCCCACAACGCTCTTTCGAAAGCGTTTTAAAATTCTTTATAAAAGATTTTCTCCCAAATGCCCGAATAAAACGCTCTTGCATACTGGAGGGCAGTGGTCAAGATCTGGTGCAGTCCAAGTCAGACATATCCATACCTAGATCTCTGAACTCCTTCATGCATTCCTCTAATGGATCAAAATCGTCCTTCAGGAATCAGGCTGCGATCTGAGTATGTTATGCACAAAGAGCACTCCCGAATAAGTCGGCATCATCAAATGGCATGCGGTTATGATTCTGAGTTTCTTCTTTTTCACACCAGGCAGAAAAAATATTCACTGCAGCGTTGCCTATATATATTATTCGCTCACTCCCAATTTCTGGACGCAAAATTAATTTCCAAAAATGGATCGAAGCACCGAGGAACGTATGCTTTCTGGAAGCTTCTGTCAATTCTTAAAAGAGTTTTTTTTTCACCCATTCTTTCCCATCATGGTATACACGGGCGGGCAGTGATCGAGAAGTGGTCCAGTCAAAGTCCGACATATCCATACCTCGATCTCTGAACTCCTTCATGCATTCCTCAAATGGATCATAATCATCCTTCAGCTTCTTGGCCAATTTTTCTCTCTCCTTTACATCTAGAAGATATGTGATCCTTTGTTCGAAACCAGGTTTGGCTTCTCGTTTTTCGCTCTCAATCAAGAAGTCAACGTATTCTGTGATACGCAATGGATCGGGCTTCAGGGCAATCTTGTCGAGCTTCTGCAAGCATTGGTGCGCCTCCATAGTCAGATTCAAGACGTTGGTCCTCTCAACGTTAAAGTCCTTGATGAGTTCGTTCAGAACACCTTTGGCATTCAGTCGCTCCCCTGATGCTTCCTCTTTTGTTTGCCTCACCATTTCTGCCCTTGCCATAGCTATAAATATAAATTCAAAGATAAAACAGTACCGGCTATCAGTATGTGGAATATATCAAAGGAGAAACGTTGCAATGTTATTTCTCACCTGTTTTAATTTGCGGCAAGATCCCCTGGAGTGCCGCCTCCAAGTGTTTTCTCTCTTTCAGAACATCCAGCGTCAGTCAGACTCACGGGTGTAGTCTGAAGGAAATCCTTAAAGAATTTCTCAAAGCATGATATTCCCATTTTCCAAAAAAAGCTGTTCAAATCATCAGCATCGGGGTCATCTGACGGATTGACGAAAAGTGCAGAATTGTTTACTTTGAAAGAGTTTCTACTCGGAATTTTAGCGGCCTTGAGGGCAGTTAGAACAAGAGGCTTCTCGCGGCTCGCAAAGGTAGTCAGCACGTAGATAATGTTTTCAACATCTTTCCCTAATACGGCCAAGATCGAGTCAAATATGTACTTTTGAGCGGGAGTCAACCGAGGCAGGGAGGCCTGTACAACGAAACAGATTCCATCGAGCTGATCCACTCCGATGTTCCCACCATGGGAAAAGAATTCGTGGATCTGAATCCTCAACTCATCGTCTGCCTTGATCCCCTCAGTGTCCCCAAACCCGGGGGTATCGATGAGAGTCAAAGTACTGGGGAGATGGAATCCTTCCTGTTGATGTAGGACGTAAGCCGTGATCCACTTTGTCTGACTATGAGCTTCGAACTTCCCGGCACCTTCGTCCACAATCAGCTTGAAACGGAAAGGGTCTTCCCACTTCACTCCGTACACGTAATTTATCATCCCATTGATGAGTGTACTCTTGCCTGAGGAGGAAAAGAAAGGGCTCTGAAATTAAATGAATATAAACCTGGCCAAGAAGCGTTCATCCTGAAGGGGATGGACTTTACCTGCTCCTGTGGCTCCAACCAGCATAAGTACCTTTCCCGGTCCACTTTTTGGTCCTTTCTCGCCGGTCTCAAACTTGGCCAAACGATTTTTTGTATCTTCATATATCTTCTTCCGGGGAAGTTCATGAATGAATCCGTCAATGCTCCTACACATCTGTGCCATCTTTTCAGCGAGAGTCACCACTTTATTGTACTTTTTTGTTGCTTCCTTGAATGAGAAAAACGGTCACCCAATAAATTTTTTTATTTGTTAAATTATGTACTAGCGAGTTTATTTGCCCTTCTGGCAAATAAACTCACTATGGGCGCGCCTTCGGCACTTCGTGATCAAATAAAATTATTAATGCATTTAAAATATTTGAATGAAGGAAATTTTTGATCGAAGCTCACCTGTACCGATGCGGTCCACCCTTTTGGTTAATGTGTACGGCAATTCTTGCGCTTTCGGCGCTCGTATAAAGTTGTTTTAGAGAAATTTCATCGCAACGTCATATGTCTTTCAGCATGAGGGGATCACCAGGTAAAATTTCAGTGAGCCGTTTAATGCTCCTTTATTGAATTTAACTCCTGGCTGAGGTCGTCGCACATTCTTCGCACATAAATGTATGCAAAAGAAATCATTGTAGAAGACACAAAAGCGTTGTAACGCAATAATTTTTAAGAGTGCAAAATTAAGAGTTCTTACTTTTCTTCTTTGTCTTGACAGTGAACCAGAGTCAGACAATTACAGAAATATGCAGTCATGTACAGTCAGACATGTATTTGGAAGGTAGCAGCAAACCAGTTCCGCATGTTCCAGAATGGTGGGATGATTAGTATTGCAGAGGCACATAAATCCCCTTAGGAAAAAAGGGAATCGTCCAGTAGCAACGTTGTTATCTAGTACCTCCTGAAACTCGCATTTAAACACCTGTTACGCTTACGAAGCACTACAGTAGTGACAACGTCATTAGATAGTCCATTAAAACAGTGATACCTTCTCAATGAGTTTGTGGACCGTGAGAATGCTGACGCGTATCCTCTAAGCTTGCGATGCGTCAGCCTTTCCATCATCATCATCCTTAAAGTATTCATATATTCCCGTAAAATTGCCGATAAGGTGTCTTGGGTTATAATACCTTCTCAGTCTTCGCTCAACCTTAATAGAAATTCTTGAAACTCCTCTAGCTTCTTGGAACTGTCCGAATCAATCATTTTAATTTCAAAAATCAAAATCGATGCTAAAAATTCGACAGGCAAAATTTCGAGAAAGTGATTGACATGATACGGACAAAACATGCAATGTCCTTTCTTATTATAGAGCCAATTTCTGAACTTGGATTGACAATAATATAACTATAGGATAAATACAGCTACATGTATATGGTGTAATACAGTAAGGCGCTATTTAGTAAGGCATGGCTTATTAAAACAAGTTATAGATGCACACGCGCATATGGAAATTCATGACTTCAAATATTTACAGGTATGATATGGCATGCAAGGCCAATTCATGGGATGACTGTAGCTTCAATGTGGCAACTATGTATTGTTGAAGTGTGGCATTCAGATATAGTTAAGTATTTTTTTATTGGGTCCAACTCACCCTAACAGATCTCGGGATTCAAGACTGTCTTACCCTTCTTGGCTCCCGTCACACAAATTCCCTTTGATTTTCCTTCATTCTCCTTCTTTCTGGGGCAGGAATTCAGAGGAAGGCCATTTGTAGCTCTGCTTCGAATGGGGCTCAGAATTCAGGGCGAGTTTCTCTTTCCTAGCCGGGGATACCTCACCGCAGAGCTTTATCATTGATAGAATGGTGTATTAATATTCCATGTAGATTTCCACATATAATATACATGGTGAGGCAAAAGTTACTAACCAGTTGTTATATACTGAAAAAAGTTGTCTTTCTTGTTGGTCCTCTTTGTTTCAAAGTACCACTTCTAGATGAAGCTGGTAGCTTTTGAAATTACATCACACAACAATTTTTCTGTTATTTGTGCTTTTCTTGTAAACAACATAGTCAATTTGAAGTTAGAAATTGAAATAGCCATATACTACACGTGAAAGGTTAATCTGCTTCTCATTCCAGGAAAGTCCTAGATGGATGAACGGATTTTACCAATTGAGGTGTCAATCGAGAGCTCACGACCCGGAGGCGATCCTTATTGGGTCAAATGTCCAAAAAGTACCCTGCGAACGTTGTGTCAATGGGTCCTCCTGTCTTTCTGCGTGTCAGAGGCCTGCACGGGTTGACTTTTCCGAGTTGAAACTCGATCGGTCCAATTGTAATCGTGGCCCGTACCCTAGCCGGAACGCAATCGTCGACCGCGCTTTGCTGCTCCGAGCCGTGAATTGTGCTGATCTTATATGACCTGTCCGCAGCCTGCTTAGGCCTCTGAGCTTAAGAACTTCAGAACAGTATTGAGTTGGTGCTGCAATATTATTATTTTACATGTTGGTGTTCTCAAAATGCCACGAACAAGGTGGGGAAGTTTAAACTATCCTGCGGCGGGATCTACTGAACGCAAGAGAAAGGGAGTTCTGTAGTCATTGTCAGTGGATGAAAGTGCACGACGACGTGCACAATATGCAGCTGGAAAAGTCAAACTGACGAAGAGAGCAGAAAGACGTGCACGAAATACTCTAATTTGACTCATTTCAGCCCATGTGCGCATGTTCTTTTACACTAGTGCCCTATATTCAACGACTGTATTGTGAATTTTGCCCCATTTTGTATATGCTGCTAGCGCTGACTCACTGACTGCAATTATGATTGGTAAAAGATGGATCATCTATACTACTCTCCTACTTCGAAACATATGCTCATTGACGATCCTACGGTAACGGTACCTAGCTATAGAAGAGTAGCATTCTGGACTTTATTCAAGCAGAATTTCCATAAATCGAGCACTCAATCATTTCCATTTAATTGAATTGAGGGTTTATGGAAAGGCGTTACGACCATCCCATCATAGGATTTATTTATTCTTTTTTTCTTCGAATCTCCGATCTCATGTATCCCAGTAACTTCAAACAATATATAGATGGTGTGACATTATAATTGCACAGGTGTATAATTTCATTTAGATTTCGACATCACATCGAATGTCAGTCCTTTGGGCGTCCATTGGACGTTCAGGAAAGGAATTTCTAAGGACAACTATTCATGGTCTTCCATTGGATGTCCTTGGATGGAATCCCCGTCCAGTTGAGGCCTTCCATCTGGCCTGACATCTAGTAGTTCATTCAATAAATATTAAGTTCCCATAATATAAGTGAGGTTGCGCTCATCCCGACGTTACAGGCCCTGATTCCCTAACGAATCGTTCTGCGGAACCTTTCATCCAATACTCCATAATTTCCCATGTACAGGCCTAAGGAAGGAAGTCATTCTAATTAATTCATTTGTTGAGAGACGAAAATAGCTCAAGGAGACTGCCGGCTATTCGTGCGAGTGTGAGTGTGATTCAAGAGAGTGTGGTTCCCCTAGTCAACTAAGTCTATTATAAGTCTCTCCGTTCTCGTCTGGAACGGAATAGACTTACTTTCCATCTAAAACGCTTCTCTTCTACTTCCTCCAAGGCATGGGAGGGTGCGAGATTGTTAATATACAGAAAATGCTTCTTTTTTCAAACGTTGATTGGGACAGCCAGAGTAGAGGAAAGGGTATTCTATATTGGGTATCCCTGGCGCCATTGTCCCACCTTCCCACGCATCCTGTCATAATGTATCCCGTTTTCACGGGCCCGGGAGAAGTGGTGGCAACTTCGATGCCGCTCCGGCCATAGGCCTCCATCGGTGCACATCGGGCCACCTTGGCCAATGTGCAGCGAAGTGGCGGGTGCTATTGAAGTGCACCAAGTCCATACCTCTCACATAATGGAGCATAGAGTGGCTTATGCTTTAGCCCAAGGGAGAGCAGGTAGTACCCGAAAGCAGCCGGGTGAACTGTTGGCCCAGGAGAATACTTCCGGTCGGATTCGAACCTGGATCTCCCGCGTGCGCCCGGGCCCCTTATCCGCTGAGCCACGATGACGGAAAATGTTCCTTTCTCTTGCCATGAATATTCATGCAATTTTTTCTCCATTGCTATCAAGGATTACTATTGCTTGCACCCCTCAATGGTCATGCGATAGCATTCCCAAAGGGAATCTCCAATGGATCCAAAGAGACGGACGTCCAATAAGTCATCCGATGGACATGTCCCAGGATTATCCTTGGACGAGACATTTAGTCATCTAGTGGATGTCCAAGGAGGATATACATTAGATATCCAAGTGTTGATGAGGGTATGTCCCATATATTTATTTTGGATCGAAATTGCTACTTGGGGTAGTTACAAACGGAGATAGAGCTTTCCCCTCTTAATCCGTCCTTGGAAACAGTTGTAAACGATTTAAAGCACTTGCCAGAGGCATTGCATTGCCCGAAGTGACGTGCTTGCATGCAGTACAGCTAAACTGCATTAATCATGGTGGCGTGGGCTTCAAGATATATATTATTAGCATTCTTGAGCACCGCGTTAAAAGGATCCTCCCCTTCTCCCCAAAGATTTTCTGTCTCTTTTGTACCCTCGAGAAGGTTGTCTATCCACACTGTTGGGAAATTCGGTTCAGAGTAAAATTTATTGAGGGATGTATTGGGAAAAATAATTAGATGATAGTGAAATACAAAGTTCAGCGTTCTTAAACCTATACCTTAAACTTCAATCTGACCTACTTAGGAAAATTCGAACGTTTTCAGAACCATGTGAGGAGTGCATGGTTATCTATTAAAATTATTTTTCGACTACGAGGGTTTTACATTTAAGGCTTCATGAGATTAGAACCATGAGAACAGGAGTGAACGAATCCTCTTTGAGTCTTCGTATTCATCTTATGCAATATATTGATGGTTCTGCAGAAGAAAGGGATTTTCATGCTTCAAAGATTCATAAATATTTCGGAAACTGGGTTTCATAGTCCTTTGTTGTTTGCTCTATAAAACGGTAGATTTTTATCTACTGTATTCTCGCATAAATATTTATCATCGTTCACCTTGTCCAGAGCATAAAGCAGAGCACCTGAGGCCCTGGAATACGCATGCATAACATCATTTGAAGATGGATGTGAAAGAGAACGGAGTGAACCACATGCTTTAAGATAACAGCCATCTCGCCACGCAGCATGATATTGGGTTAATTTAATAAGCAAGTATTGTCGGTAAGTTCAGAGTGACAAGACAGAGTGGGAATCCGAAATTGAACCAACCTGAAACCGAGAAGCCTCTTCATTCACCTCTTTTTTAATTTTTGATCCACGCTTTATCGTTTTGGCAATTGGGACCGTGTCGCGAAAGTCGGGATTGTAGAAGTCCTTTGCTTCGCTGATGATTAGAGCACATCTAGGATCACCGCGGATTGAAGGATCCGCAATCACGTTTCTCTTTAAGAAGTCTAACGAGACCAGAGGAAGTCGTATTGCATCGAGGACTTGGGGCAAGTATTCTTTCCGGCTTTGATCGTGTTCGATCCACCTTTTAGATGCTTCGAATACTTCTTCCTCCGATTTAACTTCCAAATCATCTCGGAGGATAAGACCCTTAACAGTTTCAAAGGTAATCCGGAGGAAATCGGGTGTTGTCACAATTTCATTGAAGCAACGCGCCATGAAGCCGAGGATTCCTTCCTCTAATTCCTTCTCGTTCAGTTCCTGGGCCGTGCGGAGGAAAAGAAAGGCATTCCGAGGCTCGATGATATCGATGAGTTTTCTGGAGATAATGGAACAGAGGTGTTGGATCCCGAGAAAGTGGGCATCCCGAAGGATGGCAAGTGTTCCGTCTTCGCCATCCATCACGAATTCCGGACCGTGGAGGAATTCCCAAACTCCCCTGAAGCCCATCTTTGAGACTCCTTCAAGGTGCACTTCCTTCTCTGTGGCTACCTTGAACGCAGTCGATTTGTAAACTAGCTTCATCCCGCTGGTGCGTGGGTTCTACTCGGACGACGACTTCTTCTAGCACAGAAGGTGGAAGTGCTAGTGCAGTGTTATGCCGTGAACCCGCAACTGGAAACGTCGATGAAAGTCACACCCTAATTTCAGATCCAACTGGGTCTTCTGGTATGTATTCTTATCCTGACCCATTTCTACAAATCACGAAAATTACGACGTTGCGTAAATGAAGTTGAACTGCTCGCTCGCTCAGATGAGGAAACAGGAGCATAAGCGATTGAAGGGGACTGTATCTAAAGCGCACTAATGTGGAACATGAGTCACACTGAGATAAGAGGCTTTTTGTATTATCGCACTCTGGGTGGAAATATTACCTCGTCTTCACTTTAGGAAGGACATGCTGCGTTGTTATCAGGAGGAATTCCTCCATTGTATAGGGTAGTTATGAGCTTAGGTAGAGCCTTTCCTCTGAATCCATCCTTGGAAACTGTGCACTACAGTCTGAGGAAAATGAAAGAAT